AGAGTGATGTGAGGTTTCTGGGAAATAAGAGTACACGCCATTCCTAAGGTAGACCCTCTACTAACGTCAGCAGTTGTTACCTAATGGGCATATGATCTGCATTTATCGACGTTTGGATTTTTTTAAGAGAAGCCAGAGATTCAGATTTTTATGTGCAATCTCTCAATTTTCTCATGTGGTCATCAAATAAAACTTTTCACAATCATATGGAACAGGTCAATTTAAACATGTCTAAGAGCCACACAATCTACCAGTCCACTAATTTATAACGTGTTTTAGAGCTGAATGTTACTTACTTATATACTGTGTTCTCACAGTAACTGACGAATTCTTTGGGGACAAGAACTATTATCTTGTAAGTCTTTTTGTATAACCAAGAGCTCAATCAACAATTATTGTGGATTTCAAATTGGAAGACAGATTCCTTTCAAGCCATAGATTCTCTGATCGTCTTCCTCGACTTACGTGATTAGTTGTACTTTTGTAGTTTGGAAAAGATTATTTGCACAGTAATGATAAAAATATTAATATTTTCTATTTATTCGCAAGTTGCTGGGAATGCTCCTCTCTCCCTTAAATTCTGATACGATTTATTCTGTTTAATTACACATTGATTGAGATTTTATGTCTGGGTTCAGCTCACAGATTTCCTTCTTTCTAGACGATTGACTGTTTCCTTTCTGAATCTCTCTTTCTCCTTAAGTGAAATAGAGGTGATAGTGGCATTTACCTTATAGGCTTGTTTGTGAAGATTTTAAGTGAGATTAATTTGGGGAAAACAATGTCTGATACAATGTCCACAATGTGATTCTCATTGGTGTGGTTGTTACAGTCGGATCAACTGTAGACTCCAAAAGGAAAGTCTATTTGCAAAGAAATTACGTTAAAAGAATTAATGTCTCCCCTTTCCATCAGAGATATTTAAACCTGGGATTCACTTGATTTCTATGCTTAGACGTAAATGAGGTTTTAATATATCAAACATCTGCTAAAAGTAAAACAAAACAATATAACCACCATCACAACAAAGCCGATATTCATTATCTGAGGAGCCAGGCCCTTAATATCTTTCATTGTCACTTAAGTATTCTTCACATTGTAATTGTGCTCATAACCCTGACATTACCAATCTTCCACGTACGCCAAAGAGAAATAGACCTCCGAGTTTCAATGAAATCAGAATGACACCTCCTCAGTCGTCGCTCGGACTACCTTGGGTGGCATTGCAATATGACTGTGTTGGGTGATTACAACATGTTCTCTCCTCTGGGGAAGATGAGAAAGTTCCATCTTCTGGCATTGGGCTTGTCTTCACAGCAGCCACACCTTTTCATGTGATTCTTTTTAGAATGTAATGTCAGAGTGAAGCCAACAGAGAAAAGTTCCAACAAATGGGATTGCCATAGCAACACCCTACATTTTTCATCAAGTTTGTTCTTGTGTGGATCATCACATTAAAGCTTGTTTTTCAGCTTAGTGAAAGCCATGTCTGTAATCTTCAGTGTGAAAATCTCTTTGGCCCATCCAGAAGTTAAAAATAGAAAAGAATAATTTGAATTATTTCATGAACCTAAAAATCTGGAATTATAGCTCCTGCACAGATGGAATTAACTTGTAGAACACTGACATGTGCCACCACTTGAATTTCCCCCCTTACGATTTCACATTGGATTCAGTACTTCTCATTATGACTTGCTATTTGTCGAGAGCTGACCCATGTATTTAGTTCTGAACAAAACGGTAAGAGCAGTACTCATCTCCTTCAACGGAAAGAGGTACAGAAGCATCCCATTGAAAAGAATATGGACAAAGGTTTTTGTGTGTGTGTGTCTGTGTATTATGTACAGCTGTGTGCATGTGTCACTTGCTTATTTATGATAACTGAATAATTAGTTTACCTTAGATCTTGCATGGCCAATAAAGCATTCTATTTTAAAATGTTTGCATTTGAGAGTTTTCTTTGTGGGGAAATAGCACATTTTTTTTATAAGAACACTCAGAAAAGTAACTTTATACATTAAGTGTTTTTTAAAAGATATTATTCCAAGATTTCAAAATAGTGCTTATCTAGAAGGCTAGCTTTTCTGTTCAAATCCTTAATGTGGAAGCAGGACTTGTGAAATGTAAAGAAGATGAATGCGGAGATGCTTTACCCTATACTCTATGGTAGTTACCATAAAAATCAGATGTAATTTTAATGCAAATGAATAGTCAAATTTATAATTGCATATTCTTTAGTTTCTATAATAAGTGAATAACAAATGCTTGCTAAAAACATTTCGCATGTTGCACTTTAAGATCACACTTGGTTATTAATCACAAAAAACTTAAAGTATAAGTAAATAATATTGAAAATATACTTCACTATTTTTTTCACCTATAGGATAATGCATATTTGTCATTATTATCCAAAAATATAAACTTGAACAAATATTAAATTAAAATATACCTTATTGTCATAAAATTGTTACCAAGAATTTACAGAATTAATGAGGAATAAAAAGATAAACCTGTAGACATACAAGATTAGGTTGGTTGATATAACATTTTTTAAGTAAAAAAATTTAAGCTACCTATTAATTAGTCCATAAAATTATATGGATAAAGTCAATCATTTTCAAAAACAGATTTATTTTTATTTTTATCAATACTCTTGAGTGAGAACTTTGTTTTATACAATAAAGAAGCTCTACTATTATTAAATTTTAAATATTCCTTCTCTGGCCCTGACACAGACATAGTCATGCAGTCGATGTATTTTCTCAGCCCTTGGCAATGGTACATACAATTTTAATCATAGATATTAATTCTCTTCTTTAAACCACTAGCCCACCCCTTCTCTATTACTTCACACTGGTATTTATTTCACCGCCACAAGCCGTGGTGCATGGAAAAGAAACTACAGGTATTCATGATTTTCCTGCTTTGGCCTCAGTGAGTCAAATTTGCACTTGTACATTGTGAAGAGGTAAAAATTCCAACGCTTCATCAGAAGCTTATCATCGTTTGACCTCCATGTTGAAGGGATTACACCTTGTGTAAGTTTGGCATAAAGATATCAACTAGCAGGGAGGGACAGCAGCAGGTGCCAGGGAAGATGGCTGTAACATTGACAGCTGTGAATAACCTACGCTCTTAGGGAAAAGCCAGCGTTGCACACTATAACCCTACCCAACACTCGAAAGATAAGGCTCTGCAATGAAAAGGCCAGAAATTCAATTGTTTTCAAATGACATAGTAGGTTACAATATTTTTGTCAGCGATTACTTTGTCACAAAATCCTTCTCCCCCACCCCACCCCGGCAGAGGTAGTGATAGAGACTCGTGGCTTTTCCAAAAATAACCTTTAATTATAGTTTTTGATCTTGACATTCTCAAAAAAATGCCCTACTGGCTAGTGTTCTGTAAGTACCATCTGTAAGTTTTGATCATAAACTAACTGGTCTTAGAATCTGCCTGGCAAAAAGCATTCAGAGTCATTTTGGGAAAAGTCAGGCATAGTCAATTTTCACAGTCTTGAAACTTGAAATCATTTCCTCCAGCTTTTGGGAGAAAAAAAATCTGGCATGATATTCAGTGATAGAATTTTCAAACAAAAATAGAAGGAAAGCTGGAATATAGCAAAAAAAAATTAAAAAAACAAGATACTGTAGAAATCTGAATATACTATAAGTGGCATTTGTCAAAAACAACAAGAAAGGAATTTCAATTATATCATCACAGTTACCCCCTCTTACTTATACATAAAATACGATCATTTATATTTCCAAAGTATATCTAAGAATGGAAAGGAAATTAAAAAATATTTAATATTATGACATGAGAGGACTTCAAAAAGTTCATACAAACAGGATTAAAGTACATAGTTAGAATATTTTGGTGCAAAGAGTTTTGGAATCATGAAGAGCTGCTGCTGCTGCTGCTGCTTTTTTTTGTTTTGTTTTTAAGAGCTTTTGCCTTAGGGCATGTGCGCTCACCAGAGAGACAGAGATAGAGACAGCGACAGGAAAAGTGAGAAATCACGCCCCGGGGAGTATGGCCACATTGCAATCCCTTCTCTTCCATTCTCTCAGGATCTTGGACACACACACACACACACACACACACACACACACACACACACATGTGCCTGGCATGAATTTCAAACCACTGAGTCTGGGACTTGAACCACGGTCAGCCATATGTGAGCCCCCTGACATAACCACTGTGCCATCTGCTGGTTCCCATGCAGAGCTTTTTCATAAAATACATTTTCCACAAAATTTTCAGATCCCTCACATCAGTAACTATGAAGAAACCATTGCATAGCATCTTTGAATTATTGGGGCCTTAATAAACAGTTGATATGGCTCTCACGAGGGAAAAAAACGAAGGGTGAAGACGCCATTTTCAAGCTCTCTATATTAGCTTAATGCTAGGTCATGCTAACCTGCTAATAAGGCCAGCGCTTAGTGTTATTAGAAATAATAACACTGCACATTCACCTTAGTAGTGAGCTGCTTGAGAAGCTGGTACTTCTTTGAACAGTCTCAGTGACTAATTAAGACTTTGACAAAAGTGCTTCCTGGGAAAATGTGATGATCTGTAACAAGTGGTATTTACAGGAAAACTACTGCTGTGTTAAACTACTTCATTTGCCTTTATTGTTCACTCTGTTAACTATAAATTTCTTAAGTATGAAGCATATTATAAAATATCCTTTAAATAACAAAACTCTTCCTCTGTTAATATCTTATAAAACTATATCCCCAAAGAATCCTGGGGTGTTACACTTGTGTCAGTCGGAGAACAATGCACACACATACTTTCTTAGAAGGTCGAGTCCTGATGGAATAGTCACCTGTAGTGCCCTAGAATTAGAGAATTAGCAAGGACTGATTTTTGAAAAAAGTCCACACTTGTATTTTTTTTTTTAACCAGAAAACAAACACCAATGCTCATTATAAATAAATAAAATTATTTTAGGAGATGTAGTTTATGGGTCACATGATCTTCTGATCTCTATACTAATGACTCCAATATATCTTTCTGGAAATGGACCTAGAGTGCTATAATTACTGCCCCGGTTTCCATCCCGAGTTCTATTTCTAGTCCTAAGTGTGCTAATTTAAAGAAATGGAAAAACATATCTTTTTTCACTCATACCCGCTTTTTCTTGTACAAATGTGTATCAACAGAAAAACCATGTTTAATATTTTTAAAAAGTTTATTTACCTATTTTTTCATGAGTAGGATAGGGAAAAAAAAAAAAGGTAGAAAGATAGACAAGATCTCCAACAGGCTCCCCACACTGCCGTCCATGCAGATCCCAGCCAGCCTTACTCAGGCATACACACACCCACCTGACATGCACACGGCTCGGGTGACGGGGGAGGGGGGCCTAGCCAGAGAACCTGGGACTTTCTTATGTAGACCCAGTTGTGTTACTCTAACAGGAAAGAACAAATACTTCTTTAACTCTCTCTTTTTTTTTCTTTACTTTATTCCTCTGTCTTATTTGAAGGGTTAACTGGTGAGTATAGCTTCTGTAACTAATGTACTCTGTAACTGTTGTAACAAATAAGGTCATAAATATGTCTGTTTGGTTGGAAGAGGAAACTTAGTCACTTGTTTTAGACAATAGTCATGAAAATGCAACCAGGACAGGGACTAGAGTCCCAGGCACAAAAAAATCTTAAGAAATTAAAAAAATATATAATTTCTCAAGGGAAACATTTTAACACGCTAACTTGGAAAAACTGTAATAATGTTATCATTTAACATAATAGTGACTCAGATGTTTAGATAGGTATATATAAAAAGATGCTGTATTGCAGCTCCCCTTAATCTATCAATGTGAGTCACAGGTCTGAGTTGGCAGATTCAATATCACTGTAAAAATATAGACAGGGTCATAAATGTCATGTAAAAGGAAAAGGTACACAGAACAATTTTGGAAAAATCATGAGGGTAAAAGTAACACTAAACTAGCCTAATGTGTATTATAAATAACAATGGATAAACAGAAAGTGTAATGGTATATAAAATGCCAGAAATTTCTGTTCTGGGGGTTGGTTGTGGGCTTGTTAGCTTTTGGCCACCCCTGTGCTCGAACACAGCTAAATAAATTCTGCTTTTCCCCCTCTTTGCTTGGCCTCTCGATCATTCATAAGAGTGGCCTCTTTTCTTAATATTAAACAGTACTATGCTAGGCTAAGGCTAGTAATTACTGTGCTAGGACCAACCCCGTAGTGCAGTGGTTGGGTATTGTGCATTGGAATCCAGAACCCACATGGCCAGCTTCTGGAATCCTAGCCCAGTAGCTTGAAAGACCCTT